TGAAAGTCCCAAAACCGCGCGTATACATGGGTGTCGATCTCGCGGATGAAATTTTCGTAAAATGACAAATTGAAGTGTTTGTGTGATAATTGTGTTAATTTGGGAACCACTGAGTTGTAGTCTCAGATGGGTCGTCTGAAAGATAATGAAACTGACTCATGTATTGAGATGAAATAAATTAACTTGAATTGACGAGAAAGAAAAGGGGATTGAGGTGTGAATTTTGGCACTTTATGATTATATAGAAAATGAATGTTTTATCACTGACCTTGTAAATGCACATTTTACTTATACTTTCGTTAAAACTCATATATTGTGTTAGATTGTTCCTATTGGGTTTTGGCTCACCCTATCTGGGAAAAATCATTTTCAGGTGTTGATGATATGCCTACGCCAAGGTAGTAGCTCGGAGGGAGTTTGGGGCACGAGCTTCACTTTTTGTATCTATTTGTATAGCCAAGGGTATAAATTGTATAGAGTTAGACTCTTTTTTGTTGTAACCAAGCAATGACTTGGAAAGATGTAAGCCTTTAGGGCACATAATTATCTGTTTAACTTTCATTCCTCTTTACTACTTGTAACACATGCTGTAGATTCAGGATGAACGATATATGAATGTATATCGCATGTGTCACCTTTTGTATATTAACTCTGATTAATGAAAACTTCTTATTTTATTTATATCACATTGCACTAGTGTTTAGGGATGGTTTATAGTAATTATTTTGGGGGTGTTACACATGCTCTGAAGGTTTGGATGTGATGGATCTTACTAGAAAAATATATTCTAAAATGGTGGACAAAAATTGCTAAGGTTGGAAATGTGAAAGATTTGAAAGGACGTGATGTTGAAGTTGATAAAAAGTTCAAAGTTATGACTCGATATAGAATGTTATGCTCTGAATTGGTAAAACTTGAATCTCGAGTAGCAGAATGTGAAGAAACATATGACTTGGTAGATACTTATATAAATGATATGTTCGAAAATGTTGAAGACAGTTTATCGAGAATTCATTTCAAAAATTCAAATGCTACTAGGACAAACGGACTTAAAAGAAAAGAGGTTCCTTCCAAGGGAAACAAAAAGACCAAAAAGTTGGATAGAGAAGCGAGCTAAAAAAAAGAATGGAAGATCAACTCAAGCAATTTTTCCAAATGATGATTCTCAGGTATCTTCAGGTATTTTCGAAGTACATGAAGAAGCTATCCTGCATAGCTTACCTGCGGATCTTCGTCGTGATATCCAATGCCATCTCTGCTTGGACCTTGTTCGACGAGTATCTTTCTGTCAAATATTTTTTGTTTGTAGAGCTAAAATTCCATGTTGTGAAACCCTTGCCATGTGTTTGTCCAGAATGGTAAATTTCGAGGAATGTTGACATCAACCAAAAGGGAATGAGAAATGTTAAGGATACTAACACTTCTTCTACTAGCAATCTTACTCACTCACAAAGCTTATGTGGGTTCCCACACCAAATGAGGATTGATCCCACAAAAACTTGTGAGTGTGTCACTAAAATTGTTAGTAGAAGAGTTGGCATCCTTAGCATTGTTAAAATGGAATTGCAACCATAGAGACAAGACAAAAATTCCATAAGCTACTTCCTCCATGAGCTCCCCTCGTGACTTGTACTAGATAGAAGTGTTCATGCCTATGAAGCACGGATACGGACACGGATACAGACATGGCCGGGGACATGGCAATTTTTTTTTACTAAATATTTTTATTTTAATATGCGTTAATTAGTTTATTTATTTATTTCCTTTTTTAAATAATGTGTTTTGGTAATTTTTTTATTTTATTTTATATACATTTGTTTTTTTTATTAATATGTATAAGTAGTATATATTATGTTATATATACTTATAAAATAATATGATTTCATTAATATTATCTTTTATATACTTATATATATATATATATATAAGATAAGATAGAAAGCGCAGGACAAAGACGGGGAGAGAGAGAGAGAGACAGAGATGTGAGAGAGAGAGAAGACAAGAGAGAGAGAGAGGGGGGCTTACCTTCGAAGTCTTCGATCAACTAAATGGATGGGGGTCTTCGATCGACACCATCGACTGTCGGCGATAGATGACTCGTTCAATGGATGGATTGACTATCACTACTGACTGGATCGACTGTATAGATGAGTGGATGGGGTACACAATTTTATACATCGTTGCTTTTTTTTTATTTTTTATTTTTACTTTTTAAATATTACACTTTGAACCCAAATAAATATAACAAAATTAAAAATGAGCCTCGTCGTGTCCCATGCTGTGTCTCGATATGGATACGCGTGTCCCCGCCGTGTCCCTTACAAAAAAAATCATTAAATTAAAGGGACACGCCATCTGGCGTGCCCCGTACGTGTTCCCGTGTCCCTGGCGTGTCTACGTGTCAGACACCGCCATGGCACCGCTTTTTTGAAGTGTCCATGCTTCATATGTTCATGATTCTTAGATTCTAAATAATCATGACTCTTCTTTGGATTACTATTTCCCCGTGTAGGATGAAAAAGGATATGAGTATTCCTCTCTTAACTATGTTACATATCATCAGGGTTACCCTGAGCAGTTCTTATATATGTAAGCACATGCAGAGAGATCTGCATCATTGAAACATCATTGGAAATATCTTGGGGGAAAAATGAGACTAATAAATATCTCTAGCTTTACTCTTGCTTTTGACTCTCAATTAATGGCAATTGACTTAAAATGTTAAATTTCAAGTGAAAAAGTAGTCTGACTAAATAAAACACACATTATCTCTCAAATGCATATACCATAAATAGGAAGAAATTTGTCTGTCTAATTAAGAAAATCACCTCACAACTTCACAAGTAGCCAAATATAAAACTCAAAGAACAACATTGTTCCATTCAAACTTTGCTCATAAATAAAATGCCATATAATTTTTAGTTCTCATTTCAAGCCATACACAATTAGGCATTGGGACATTAGCTTCTCTAAGGCCTAGATAGGGCAACAAGTATTATCTGAACTATAAGACTTTTTGCTACTTGTGCCAGAACAATATACATGCGGAAAATAGAACCCTCCTTGATAGTGTAAAATTCAAAACATTTATGAGAAAATATAGTAAAAGTGTTTGTTGATGTCATGTCATCAGCTTTCACTTTGACTTTTTATGACATCATTTAAATATTTAGCTCTCCCAAAACATAACATGACAAGTGGCCCAATACCAGATATTCTTTTCAAATTTTTAGGGCTCCTTAATTGAGCCAAGCAACAAAGCTCGCATGTGACACAAGAGTAGCTGCCATGCTGAGTTGAAGAAGACGTCCTTTGGTTCAACTCGTGCTTAAGCTAAGAGCTTGAGCTGAGCTCAAATTATGCTAAGCTGAGCTCCAACATGTTAGTATGTGGCTCAGCTCGGTATGATGGCATCCTTATATACATGCCCTGCTCAACACTATGATCCATTTTATCCACAATATTCAAGAAATGATTGAGCAAACGGCCAATCCCCCTCCAACCCAATTAAAAAAAGCAATGTAAAAATAACTAAAATTCGTATGATGTACAATTTTTTCTATGCCATCAAGATAACACCAATGTCTCTCCCTCCATATCCATCATAAGAAGAAGTTGCTTGGCATGACTTCTTTCTCCCTTAACCTTAAGAAGGTAGAGATGTAATCATATTGAAAACAGGGAGTGAAAGATGGGTGCCCTATGGAAGTAGTGCAACTTTGGGACAAGGGAGACTCCAGTCTGGTGTTCTAGATGCCAGTCTTATAGAGGTTTGTGGCAAAGTTAGACAAAGTTTGGGAGGAATTGGGGAGGTTTGTTTTGGCATTAGGTCCATTAGAGTAGTTCATATCAAATAAAGTTTTTACTCAAATTTGAGTAGAATTTTGAGCAAGGGTCGGAGATGACCTAAGGCCACAATGACAAATACACAGTTTTTTTCAGTGTAGCAGACAGGATAACCAAAACGACGTCTATTTAGTTGTTGGCCATGGAGTTTCAATAGGCTCAGCTCAGAAACCTAGGTTGATGCTCTAAATCCTCAGCTCAAATCATGTCTAAAGTGATACAAGAAAGATGCCTGCCTTAAACCCTATTGGGTCCTAACCACAAATAGGATAATTTTTGGAAGCTGATTGATCAAGTACAGATTGAAGAAGTTCAACTGTTACCTAGATGAAGGAATCATTCATTCATTCTTTCTTTCTTTCTTTCTTTATTTTTTCTCTCTCTAGATGAAGTAATCATTCTATCACAAATAATTTAAATCAGAGGCTGCAACAGGCAGTGTAATTAATAAATTTAGGATGAGCACAAACAATCAACTTACATAGAACATACATCTATGTAGGAAATCCATATAAATTTGAGTTTAAACAAGAGTAGAAGAAATGCATACCAATATAGGAAATCCCACAAGGATTGCAGCAGCAGCACTGACTAATACAGTTAAAGCAGTGAAAGCCACAGAGCTGAAAGCATCGGCAATCATACCCATTGTATAAGCACCAGCTGCAGCCGCCCCTCCAAGCATCGTCATGGTCACGAGAAGATAATTAAGTGGTGGTGGCACTTGAATGTAGCGCCCGAATGAATGGAACACAACTCTGACCTCCAAGCAAATGACAACAACAATCAAAGCAACAGCACCATTGACGACTCTTATACTGCGGAGTTTGTTGTCATTCTTAGTGACCCACCATAGTGCTCCCCTAGTGGAGGCATAAAGTAGGAGCAAGACAGGAATGAAGAAAAGAAGAAACAAATCACACACAGAAGCAGGGGAAGAAAAGATAACCGAGTAGTGAGACGCAATGTGAAACAAAAGAGGGAAGTGTAAAAGAGTCAATGTATGCATACAGCACTCGAGCTGCCCGAGGATGAGATTATCTTCAGGGACGTCTCCACCATCACCATGGTGACAACAACTCACCTGTTGTTGCTTCAATTTGAAGGACGATACACGAGGAATCGAGAAAAGCCAGTAGAAAACACAATTAAACACCATAAAATAGTAAGAGGCATTGTTCATACCGAGGGCTGAGACAGTAGCCCAGGTGAAGAGTACAGAAGCGATGGAGGGAAGGCAAGCGAACAAAAGGCGCTCGAGGGCGAGGACGACAGTAGGATGCTCGATTTGGATCCACTTGAACTGAAGAGAGGCCCAGACGCCGATGAAGAAGGTAGTAGAGGCGCAGAGGAAAGTGGAGAGGAGAGCGAGAGGGATGGAATTGAAAGTGGAGAAGAGAGAAGAGGTGAAGAAGAAGGCGATCTGAGCGGAGAGGAGAGAGAAGCAGACGGAGAAGAAGGAAACGGACTTGAAGTTAAGAGAATCGAGGATATAGGAGATCATGAGGCCTAATGTCAAGGTAGCCACAACCGGGGTGCCGCCGAGGTCGAAGAGGAGGAAGGCGGCGCAAGGGACGAGGGCGACGGCGATTCTAGCGTTGTGAGCGAAAGATGAGGCTGAAAATCGAGAATTCTTCAGAGATCTTCTTGACAATTCTTGAGAAGCTGTGGTGGTGGTTCCGTAGAATGAAGAGGTAGGGTTTCGTGAGGTTGAGATGTAGGGACGGTAGAACCGAGTTTGGAGCTCCGCGGGAAGCATTTTCGCCGGGAAAAAAAAGTACTATGCGTCTGTGTATGTGTACTTACTAGTGTGGTGTGGTGTGGTGTGGTGTATGTCCTCTTTGCTTTTTCCTTTCTCTCCAATTCGACCAGCGAAGCGAATTACGACTCGACTAATGGTAATGGAGTTTATCATCCAGTTATGAAATTCCAGTGACGTGTTTCAGTCTATTTGGATCGTTGGATCGTGACTTTGCGGGACCTATCTAGCTTTACGTGGTGGCGGTAGTGGTTTTCATAAATAAGGTAAAATGTTGAAGAAGAAAAATAAAAATAAAAAAAATAAAAAAAAAACTTATTCATGAATGTATATATATGTGATATCTCCCCCAAATAAATACAATTAGCAACTTAATTTAGGAAGACCCTATTTTAATGTAAATATCAGTTCTAACTTTCCATTTGTTGTTCACCGGACCAATCTAGTATTGATGATGATGGTGAAAAATAAAATTAAAAAGTTGTCCCTTTTATAATTGTTCATTTTCTCACTTTGTTCTTAATTTCTATGTTACTTTTAATTTGTTCTTAATTTGCTATTTACAAACAAATCTTTTTTTTTTTCTTTCCCTTGAGCTCTCAATATAAGTTTCTTGATATCTTTAATTTTTGAGAGGGTAATTTATATATAAATTGAGCCGAGTTAGGTAATGGGTCGTTCATTGGGCCACAGTAAGAAGGGCTGAGTAAAAAGGCCATAAAGTTACTCCGGTCCAAAAGAGGCTTGAAGTTACTCCGGTCCCAAAGAGCTTACGATAAGCTTGGTCGTCACACACAAAGTTATCCCGGTTGGGACCACATGTCAGTTATCCCGGTCGAGACATACCATGGTTAGCATTGGGAGAAATCGGAGTAAGAGCAGTGAATGGAAGAGCCGAGCTAAATTTAGCTCGGTCTAGTCTTGCGGCTTAGCATAGCCATGCTTACCTCGGTCATATTGGAGTCCGACCATGGTAAAACCATCTCACTTGGTTTAAGTAGTGAGGAGGGTGTTGAAGGATAAGCATTATCTTTCAGGAGTATGACTCCTAGGAGGACTCTACATAGAGTAGTAAGAGTCCTACTAAGATTGTGCAACGCAAAACCTATAAAAGCTCACAACATCACCTATAGAGAAGTAACACAACTTTGATTCTCTAATACACAGAGCTTTTGTCTATTTTGTTGACTTAGGCATCGGAGAGGTATCCGGCACACACCCGCCGGCTAGCTCACGTTTGTGTTTTCAGGGAGTAAAACGACATCGTACGAAGGAGCGCAGACTTGATCAACAAGATTATACGAGAATGTTTATTTCTTTCCCGTACAATTTTCTTTCTCTTTGCTTTCTTAGAAATTATTTGTAAACGTTGCTTCTTTCCTATTTTTTGTAATGAGCTTTTAACAAATTAGCCTTGAAAAAGTATTTTAAAAGTTTATTTTTCATACTAAAAATATTAATTTGAATAAACTGTTTCTTAAAAGATGTTCAAAAGCACAATTGGCCACTTGAAAATGTTTAAAATTACACTTTATCATCTAAATATGACTTAGTTAAGGGTAATTGTTGGCTTTTTTGGCTTTCGAAAGTTATTGTTGTAATTGTGAGCATGCCAGTAAGGATCGATCAGTCCTTATAGAATATTAATTGCCAACCAATTATCAGACGATTGTATTTTAATTTTTTCAGCCTCAATGAAGAGAACTTTTACTAGTGACTTTATTTAGGAGAATTAAGTAAACAATGATTAAACGAAGAATAATTGTAGCATTTCATTAAGTAAAATGGAAGACTTACAAAGATCCAAATCAGTCTCGTAGAGGTTTACAGCAACAAATAACTTGAAACTACTCCTATGAACGAAATGCAGTGCAAGGATTTGAAGTACAGAAATGTAAAGAACAAAAAATGTAAAAACTAAAAAGAAAAATAAAGTAGATAAAACTGATTTTTTTGATCTGAGTCTGGGGCTTTTTCCAGGACCTTCTCTGCTATTTATACTTCTCAATGACAACTGTTGAAATGCATTTCTAACCGTCGAATCATCCCTCCATGATCGCTGATCATGCTGCCTTATAGTTAGCTCCACTATGTCATATCTGCAGTTAGGTTTCCCTCCTGATTTTGAATTTAAATACGAGTAACCGTTGAAGCCACGTCATTTTGCATCTCTTTGCTAACCCAGTGCTATGCAGATCCACAATAACCAATACTAACTGCCACGTGTGTGTGATTACGATTGAAGATTTGAATTGTCTTCCCGTATTACCCTCATCCTGCCACGTGTCAAACTGTGATTAGCTTATACAAAATATGTAGCCAACATTACCCCCCACTAATATACCCAATACTTGGTGATATTAGTGGATCAATGTATTTTACCCACATCTTACAACGTGTATGGGCTTTGCATTTTTCAGAAATGCAATCGTCATTCATCAATGAAACATTTGCATTAAATTCTCTTATAATCCTTGAACATCCCCACTATTTCAGTATTCGAAAAGACTAATTCATCTTTTATGGCCAAGCCAATCTTCTCTTACATTGATCAAGCATACGAAGAGTTATTTGATGATGTTGTTCGTCCTCGAAAGAGCCTTCATGCATTGATTAACCACCTTTATCCACCTCCATTTATACAAGTTATAAAAGCTTTCGCAAATCACCGGCCTTCAAACCAAGAACCTATTGCTTATGATTCTTTGGAACACAAATTTGCAATCATGAATATTGGAAGCTCTTCTTCTGCAACAAAGCCTTCCGCATGGGATGAAGCTGCTGCTTCCTCTTTTTCTACGACCTTTGGCTAGGGAACTTGGCCTACCCCTACTCAACCTCAAACGAGGGAACGCATTCATCATCGATTCCCAGAATTCGATGACCCTCTTGAAATCCCTCATTCCAAACGCAGTTCTGTAGTATATCCATATGTTCCTATTGACCGCATATGCAGTCTTAAGGACAATCTGCTTTCATCATGGTATACTTCTACCTTGCCATCTCGGATGGTTCGAAATGTCCAACGTCCTGGTGAAGCTTTAGGGATCAGTCCTGCGCTTTTAGCCAAAAAAGCAAAACTTTATACCTCTGATTGGCTAGAATGTGTGGCCAGACCTGAATTCTTAGATTCGATCAGGAAACCTCTGACTGCTCCTCCTCTGCCTTCCAATCCAAATTGGATTGATGAATTGAGACTTACTCTCTCTGAGGGCCAATACTTCACCCCCTACCAGGCCCCAGTGCCTCTAACTCCTTATCAGCAGTTTAGGGCTCAGACCTTACTTGCTGATTTCTCCCATTTAACTTTTGAAGTCCTTCGAGATGACATTCCCCACAGAAACTTTCTATGGGCTTGTGACATTATGTCTCGAAGTCATCTTCTCAACCCCGTGGCCCAAATAGAACTTTATACCTTTTTAGACCAACTTCCTCTCCTGCTCAACTGGCACTTCCAGGCTTCCATTACCAGTGAAGTTCTGGATGAAGCCTTCTCTGCTCGAATTCAAGTTCAATATGAAGCAGAGAAGCTCCTTGATGAATATGAGGCCTTCAAGAACCAGGATTCTGAATGGGGAGGATGTTGCAATGAACGAAGTACGTGAAGAAGAGGAGATGGACGTTACAAATAAAGCCCTAAAACAGATAGAATTTGAAGTGAAGGCCCAACAACTCTCTTCTCAATTAAGGGCTTATCAATTAGATAAACCAAACCTGGACAAAATAAAGGATAGAGTAGGAAAAGAGCATTCATTTATTGAATTTTGTTGGACTAAATTCCATGACCTTGTAACTTTGTCCATTCCATATTTCTATGAAATTGAGAATGTAATCAAATGAAATAGTACTTATCAATAGAACTAAGTTTTCCAAATTTCATTTGTCAGACTCTGATTTACCACTCCAATTAACTTAATCTATATGGTTGATGTGCTTTAATTGTGTGAAGTTTTCCCTTGAAGAAAACAATTATTACCTCTCATACTGATTCTAGGACTAACATAATTCTTCAGCCATCAGTTTCGAATTAACCAACTTTGTCTTTCGAAATTTGATTTGATCATATTCAATGAAATACTGGAAGTTCAATTTGAACATTTCCAACATATGGAATGTATTTGACAATTTTTGCCAGTTTCCTTTTAGAATTAAAGTTTTGAATTTATCAATTTTGCCCTTTGAAACTTGATTTGATCATATCCAATTCCCCAACATATGGTTAATAGCCCTAATCTAACCATCATAAGCGGGTAAATAAAAGAGAGAAAGACGTGGGGTTGGAAGACATACATGACACACACGCACACTTATTACAACATTGCCCTCGCGCAGAGGGTCCGAATAAATAACACACAGTCCCAAATAAATAGTACAGTCCAAATAAATAATACAATCCCAATATGTACAAAAATCCTAATTAATTACCAAATTAACTAAGAAAAACAATAAATTGACGTACAAGCCAGGGACTGCCTTGACTCTTCTTCAGATGATGAATGATGCATGTCCAGGTTACTTTGGCGCAGAAATCCACTGCGATGCCCCAATTAGCCTCTGTTTGCGATTGATGCCGGAATGCTGTGCAAGGCCTTTGAAAGGCTACTGATTCTTGATTTACTGCAACAGAGAGCAGGAAAAGGGCATGGCAATGTATTTTCACGAATGTATGCATGCCTCGATCCTCGTGCCACCAATCACGCATCTCGATGCATGATGGCCGAGGAGTCGAATTGTGCAACCCAATATAGAATGAATGCCTATGAAAACACAACAAGACCTAACTCCATCATGGGCAATCCGGAGTGTCGGTGACAGGGAATTGAGACACGTTCCGCCACTCGAAGTACGAAACGTCCCTCGTTTCCCGTGCTCGGGCTAACCCCTATCCCAAGCACAATGCAATATGCATGACATGCATGAATGCAACTAATATACAACCTAGCATGCACAATGCTATGAGATGGCATACACGATACACGAGGTAACATGGCATACACAATGCTCTAACATACAACCTAGCATACACAATGCTATGAAATGAAATGGCATACACAATGCGCAATGGACTTACACCAACATGAGTGGACCTCAGCCACACTCACATAGGAGGCCAAGAGATGAAAATGAG